TTTTTGAACGACCGAGTCAGGAGTATATGGACCGAGTTAGTGGCTTAAATGGTTGTATCAAACAAGCCGACCGGACCGAGTCAGCCAAAATAGTCTGACCGGACCGGGTCAGACTCAAATCAAACAGCCCCTAAGTCACTATTCTTAAGGAAATACTGATTCGCTATAGCTAAACCTATGCTCTGATACAACCTATGTCACACCCCATGCCCGGCCTTTGACGGAAACACCGAGCAGTGTGACGGTATACTAAGCACCAATCCTATTAACCTAAGAATACATGCATTTTAAAAGTCAACATAATGTTGGTGAGTGCACAAGTTTTTATATTTTGGAAACTTTTTAATTTCTTTTTAAGAATACTCTTCTTTAGTGAAAACCTTTCTTAATTATTTATCTAGTCTTTTATCTTTTAAGATATCTTTTATAGATCTTAAATGACTATCTTTTCAGGATATCTAACGATCCTAACGTATTTTAATTAGGATTGTCCTTTGTTAATCCTAATTTACTATCTTTCAAAGATTTCTAACGATCCTAAAGTATTTTAATAAAGATTGTCTTTTGTTAATCCTAATTTACTATCTTTCTAGGATTTCTAACGATCCCAACGTATTTTAATTAGGATTGTCTTTTGTTAATCCTAATTTACTATCTTTCCATGATTTCTAATGATCCTAACGTATTTTAATTACCATATCAGGCGTCCCTAATTGTAATCTAAGCACTAAGGCAATTTTTTATATATTAACATGAGCCCTTATAATTGACGCTACAACCGTAAATGTACCCCTGATCACGACGCTTCATCGGACGCCGAATAGTAACTTATATGGAAGGTATCTTGCCGGGATTGTAGCTAGCAATCGCAGGTGGGGTTGTCATGGCCCCGTATAGATCTATACATAACGTCTCAGGTCTCACATGATCAACGATTATAGGTATTGGGGGATATTCCTAATTCAATCAATGCTTTTTGATGAATAACCAACTCACTAACGTATTAACCATAGACTTTTATCTTTTTATCTTTTAGTCTTTTAATCTTTTATCTTTATCTTAATTACCCCTATATATATATATATATATATATATATATATATATATATATATATATATACCTTAATATATGTATATATACATCACACTATCTTTGTATATACCTCTTTCGGGTATATATCATCAAATGATCTTTGCATATATATATATAGTTATTATCGTATTGTGACATCTCCAAATTCACAGTCATTTTAAAAAATTCTATTTACGTTTATTTTAAAATCAAAGTATTCTTTTTGAAGAATAATATTGCGGAATTTGTTCACAGAAAATATGATAAATATATTATCAAAACATTTCCGAATAAATGTATTTTGTTTATATTAAAACATTGGGACGTCATCGTAAATACAGAAACATAAGCATAAACAGACCTTACATTCATTTACATTAATGATTTGCATCTCATTTAATCTCTCAGTGTAATGTATCTTCGTATCGACACCTGTGATACAAATAAACTGAGTGGGTCATGTTGGAAACCCGGTGATATATATATATATATATATATATATATATATATATATATATATATATATATATATATATAACTCGCAATATACAATTTCACCTCACATAAGCAATTTTACCCCACCCTGTTGATCCTCACAACGACACGATCTATACTCTCGAATCTAAAATTAACAACTTTACCTAATTCATACTCCCGGATCAGGTATGTCAAATCCATGCTCTCGGATCAATGACAAATGACTATGCCCAATCCATACTCTTGGACTAGGGACGAATGACTATGTCTAATCCATGCTCTCGTATCAATGACAAATGACTATGCCCACTCCATACTCTCAGAATGACTATGTATAATCCATGCTCTCGGATTAATGACAAATGACTATGCCCTCTCCATACTCTCGGACTAAGGACGAATGACTGTCTAATCCATGCTCTCGGATTCATGACAAATTTTAAAGTTCTACCCTCCATGTATATCTCACCCGTACTTATAAGAATATACTACCCGATATTCGTCTTAATTAATTTAGGTTCATTCTGTATCCTAAATTATCATATATTATCAGATATGCTCTTAACACGTATTTCAGCTAATAACAAATATTTCACACACAAATATATATTTAATACTTTAATCAATACTTGTATTAAAATCATGTTCATGAAAGGGACTATGCACTCACTTGTTAAAGTGATGACTCCAAACTCGGGTAGCGCTTCGCTTCTAACAATTTTATTTTCATTCGACGAAACCTAGTATCATTACCACTAGATTTTAGTCTAATATTTATTGTGACTAATTATTAGTCTACATTTACGAGCGATATTGTTTTATAAGAGTTAAACAATACTTTTCAACTACTATGTACAGGGGCCAGACATGAAACACCGGAGGCAGGACCATTTTGGCATAAAAGCTGTTCTAAAATCCAACAACCCTATGCGACCCTTCAAACCAAATTCCCCGTACCGCGAGTAGTTAAAAGATATTATGATAACACATTATATTTTATAATAGTTAGCGCATATATTGTTTATAGGTTCATAATAAGGATAATTAACTTAAACATAAGATATACTTAAAACACGGTAAGCATAACTCTACTTACAGGTGGTTTAGCGAGAATCTGGATTTTACGCGGGCAGAACGTCGTCGCTGAATCTTTCTAAAAAGATCCTTGTAGCGCTTCAGCGCTCACTTTACTATACTAAAACTACAGAAATAGAAGTCGAATCACGAGGGACCGAAATGCTCGGGGGATAAGAAGAGAAAGACTCTTGAATCAAGAGAACGGTGCAAGAAATATAAGAGCTTAGAGCCTCTTATTTATAGTAATTGAATTTTCAAAAACTACCATCTATAGTTACTTAATGACCTTATAGTTATTTAAATGACTAAACACCAATTTATACTACTATTTTAAATAGATTTAACGATATTTGTACTAAACTAATGTCGAAAGTACTCAAGACTAGTCTTATAACGACCGCATCATCGATACCTTGTAATGATATATACATATGTATATATGTGTATACGTATATATGATTTATACTTTATTTTAATACGTAAATATGCTATTATAAATTATAACTTGTTCATACGAACTCTGTTTTTGACATTCTTTATATCCACGCGTAGCTATCGACGAGATATACAACTTTCGTTTAGACTTCGCCGACTAATTTTGACTTTATTTTCCGTCCATATTTTTATAAAATTAAATGATTTTACTAAAATCATAACTTTCTCGTACGAACTTCATTTTTGACATTTTTTTCTCAAAATTCTTATTTTTAAGGGTATTACAATTTACTTTTTGGTGGCATTAGCTAAAAGTCAACCATTCTTTTCGTAGCTTTTTACGTCGTACATTCGTTGTGCACGACTAACTTTTATATCTTATAAAAATCATATATAATTCATACGGAGTCGTATTTCTACGAAATTTATATTTTCAGGGCCGGGAAGACGTGTACTTTCTAAATATATAATAATATGGCTTGTTTGGATTTCACTTAGCCCGTTAAAAACAATTAATTTCCAAAGAAAATTGAATATTTTCGGAGTGTACACAATTCGAAAGCCTATGCCCATCACCACATGTAGGAAAATACTTGGTTGAATCAGCTGTCGAACTGGCGGTCAAACCGATTTAACCGAAAACCGGTGACCAGACCTATTCAACTAAAAAACCGGTATTTAAAACATTGATGCAATACTTAATTAAAATCACTAAATCATCATTACGTGGGTGTTTGGGGTAACTTTTTTAAATAACTTATTAGCTTTTTTGTTTTTCAAAAAGTTAATAAGCTAAAAAAGTGTTTGTGTATTTAAAAATCATTTTTTAAAACAATTTTTTGGATAGGAAAAAGTAAAGCTTTCAAAAAGCTAAAAAATTATAGCTTTTTAGCTTTTTAAGTCATTTTACTCCTTAAAAGCAACTTTTCTTATCCAAACTCTTTTTAAAATTAACTTTTCCTAAAAGTCATAAGCTAATAAGCAATTTTCTTAAAAATCACTTTTGTGTTAAAAAAGCTAACCCAAAGATGCCCTACATTTCTTTTTGTTCCGCATTGCTATGAACGTAACTAAAAATCTTCTATCTAAACATTTGTTTTAAAAACTGGTTCGAGCCGGTTGGACTGAGAACCATTGATGAGAGTGGTTCAATAACAACCGGTTTTATGTCAATTTCTAGACTAGATCAAAACATATAGTTTCTTTATAAAACATGTTGAACTCGTGTGATAGAACCGATAAAAACAGTTTGAACCTCTTTATTGGATTTGTATAGTTGGATTTCACTTGCTCATTAAAAAAACAACTCGTTTCCAAAGCAAATTAAATGTTTTCAGAGTGTACACAACTCAAAGGCCGAGACACACCAGCTAGATGTAGGAAAATTCTTGGTTGAATCAGCGGTCGAACTAGTGGTCAAACCGGTTGAACCGGGAACCAATCACCAAACCAGCTCAACTAAAAAAAATCGTTTTTAAAACATTGATCTAAACACACATGGCTAGCTTCTATAAATACAAATCCCTGTTCTAACTCCATAATAGAGATTTCTCAAATCTAAACATAGACAGTTTACTCATATTCTTAAAATTGGATACTAATTAAGACATTTTGACTTGAACATGAAACTTGATGCTTTAAAAGAAAAAGAATTGTATTATTCAGGACGTAAGGACAATTGGTTTTTGGATAGAGTATTTCATTGTTTCTAAAAGTTAGGGTTAGAATTACAAATTTCACGAAATTGAAGGGCTTCTTTTAGATAATTGTGTAAATTTTGTTGCAGTCGGAGCAAATAATCTGATCGTTCTTCGGGTCGTTAGTATATTTGCCGCCAAAGTTAACTGATTCTCTGATGAACAGTTAAAGATGCGCCATAAAATGCCAAATGATTCTGTTATGCTCACTGCTCTCCTTCTTTCTCTCTCAATCAGCTCTAATGGCGAAAACCAAATCCCTCAAGAACTCCATTGTAACCCTTAATCCCCATATCTTCCCTCAATTTCTCTCTCTCTTTTCACCCAAGAATCACCCGAGAAATCCCCAATTATCTTTCGCCCCTTCAATGCGAGTATTATTCTTCTTCTTCACTTTCTTGTTGGCTACGATTCTATGCTGTGTAGCAATGAATCCGTTTCTGAATACACCATCGTTGTCTATATTCTCTCAGTCGGCTTCATACTCGCCACTATTTCTGGCGTCATTGTCCTCCGTGTTTCAAGATCCAACTGCTGCTGATAACAACGATGTTCCTGTAAGTCTCACCACCACTGCAATGGTGCCGTTACCACCTCGTTCTGTGACAGGAACTGCGTCGGAGTTCTGGCAGCAGCCGGATGGGGAAGGGTACCGGCCGTGTTTGGAGTTTAGTTTGAATTATCGGAGGAGGTCTAGTAAGATTGCGAAAGAGAAGATGAAGTTCTTAGTGGTTTTGGTTTCGGGAGGATTGTTTCAGATCAGGAATCAGATTGTGGATGCTGTAGTTATCGCCAGAATTCTCGAAGCTGCGCTGGTTTTCCCCGTTTTACAGGGAGATGAGAGGTAACAGTAGCTCAATTCAATTTATTAGGTTAAATCTGTGTATCTTCGTGTTCCTAATTGTCGATTTAGGGTTCATAATTGCTCCATATGTCATCTCTTCCCTCTTCATACTTGGTTTTTGATTTACATATTTTTGCTTATGCAGTGAAGAATTTTCAGAAATTTTCGATGTAGAGTACTTCAAGAAGACATTAAAAGCCGACATTAGAGTAGTATCATCTCTTCCCACTACACATCTGGTTTCATGGCAATCATTAGAGAATCAAATTCCACACAACGTTCCCCCCTTTTGGCTTCGCGCAAAATTCTTAAAGAAGGTAAGAAACATCAAATTATCTGTTCAATTTCACTTTCTATAACCAAAACCACCATTTTAACAACCTTCATAACCTTCACATTTTTCAGCTTAATGAAGAAGGGTCTCTAGTATTAACAGGCCTAGACTCAAAACTTTCCAAGAATCTTCCACTCGATCTTCAAAAACTCCGATGCAAGGTCTTAAACATGATCCAATTTCCAATTTCTTTTTCCTTTTTTTTTTTTCACATCTCGGAATCATTCCAGTTAAATTCATATTTACATTTTTGTATTAATTTCAGGTTGCATTTCACGCATTGAAATTTGCAAAACCGATTCGAGATCTTGGAAACCGAATCGCAAGAAGAATGTGGATCGAGGGCCCATATGTAGCCATTCCTCTCATACTAGAAAAAAATCTCTGGTTAAGAACAAAAGAGTACAATTCTATTATAAACAAAGAACCCGGGTTTCTTAATGCGTCAGAAGTAGCAAGGTACCATTTTCTTTAATTCCATCTTTATAACAAAAAAAAGAAGCTTAAAATTTGTTACGAATTCAGGCTGCTTAAAGAATTAGGAGCACCAAAAACTGCTCGATTGTACATCGCAAGTGGTGAGCCATTTGAGGATGATGAAGCCATTCTGCCATTGAAGGCTGAGTTCCCAAACGTGGTGACAAAAGAGATGTTGGCTCGAGATGGTGAACTTGATCCATATAGAAACAAAACCCTAATTTTGACTGCAATCGATTATATTGTGTCACTAAGTAGTGATGTTTTTCTGCCTTCTTTTGATGGTAATATGGTCCGAGCATTGCAGGTATATGAATTACTTTTCTTGATTTTTACAAGTTTTAATTTGATATGATATGGTAATTAATATGGTGATTTATTGTGGATTTTAAGGGTCATCGTGCATATGTGGGGCATAGAAAATTTGTAACAATGTGGAGGGATTTCAAGGGGCAACCGGAGACAAGGGGTAGGAGGAGAGATATAGATGTAATAGCCTATCCGGTGCCCGAATGTATGTGTAAACACTAGTGTCATGGGGGTATTTTGGGAAGAGTGCTTCTGGCTTTTTTTTGAACCCATTTGGGATTCTTGTAGCATGTTCATATTGTATCAATTCTTAAATCATGATTTTCAATTGTATCTAGGCTTCTTATATCATAAAGAATTCTATATGCTCTACCCATTTTGACTATATATGGGATTCTTTTCTTCAAAATATATTCTTTCAAGTTTTAACCCCAAAATCTTTTAAGTGGGCTCTTGGTATTTATAGTGCTAAGAAATGATAATGATAAATATTAACTATAGATATTGGATGGGATGGGACCCACCTCAAGTGGGGTCATTAATTGCACCAATTGGTTTATGGTGAATTTTGATTTTATTATGATTTATAGTGTTTTTAATTGTCATTGTGCATATGTGGGACATAGAAATTTTTTAACAACTTTGAGGAATTTCAAGGGCAGCCGAGGCCAATAAGTAGGAGAAGAGATGGAGATGTAATAGCCTATCAAGCGTCGGGATGTATGTTACACATTAGTCTTGAAGGTATTTTGATTTTTGGGAAGAGTGATGGGGTTGTTTTAACTTTTAACAAATTTGGGATTTGTAGCATGTTCATATTGTATCAATTCTAAAATCAAGATTTTTAAGCATGGTTTACAATTGTATCTGATTCTAATCAATTTTTAATGGACCAAACTAGACAAGTACCAATATGTAAAGATTTAATTTTAGCCTAATCTTATCCGGTAACGACCCAATGATATCTATCTATCCCAAGTCAAGAATTGATACAATATGAAGATTATGCTACAAATATCAAATAGGTTCAAGAACAACCAACATTCTTCCCAATAATATGTCCTTAGGATGGTGTTTACAAATACATTCTTTCACCAGAAACTCTATTATATCCTTGTCTCACTTCTTTGTCCTAGGCTACGACTGTCTCTTGGAATTCATCAACATTGTTACTAATTTCCTGTGTTACACATATGCACAATGACCCTTCAAAAACACAATGAATGACATAGAATCAGGTTCACTAGCTAAAAGACAAACTTTTGGAAGTCAAGAGAATACACTAGTGTTGCATCATAAAATTACATTGTCGCTACTTATTAATATTGTAGGTTAAAAATGACTTGCAATTGTCTAAGGTTAGTCTATAAATATAATACTATTATAGGGTTGGGATCATATTTGCCAATTAGCCAAAGATGTTAATTTTGACCAGACAGATAAAGGCTCTAGACAAGTGCCATGTTTGCAAGGTACGACTCCAACATCCCTAAACCCACCATGGTGGTGATGTTAGGTGGGGCATGTACAGATCCATGCACATCACAATACACTAACATATATATGTATATATACAAATATAAACTATATACAAAATTGTCACCATAGATCACGCTTAAAAATGTAATGACTTCACCATGGGTTGTAATGCTTGAGGTTTGGTCTTGCCGCCACATCATGTCTTACATAATTTAGAACCTTTCTTTAGAGGCATAATAGTTTTACTTTTCTTCTTTTGTTTATCTCTTTGTACGTGTTCATTGCAAGAGACTAGGAATCTATATTTTGGTTCATCGAGTTCTGGTTGTTTTCTTCTAATTATATGTCACAAATACACAAAATATGTTCTCTTTATACGTGTTCATCACAAGAGCTAGACTAGAAATCCATATTTTGGTTCATCAAGTTCTGATTGTTTTCTTTAAATTATCTTTCATGAACACAATTAAACACACAAAATAGCACAACAAAATGGTATCATGGTATTAAGGAGAAGGATTTTTTTATCAATATGGATTTTTTAGGAGCTCTTGCAGTATTATAATCAAAATGAATAATTAATTTATTTGATACAAATGACAAATTATAACTCCAAACAATTATAAATAAATAATTGTCATATTACAAATAATAATAATTATAAAAAATAACCTATAGACATGATTACCGAGAGATGATCGGGAGATTTCATCATTGAAAAGCTTGTAAGAGATTGAAAAGATGATTTCAGCTGATGAAATTATAAGGTATTTATAGGTTTATTTGGGACGTTGGATTTTGATTTTAAGCGATGTGGGCTATGGAATTATAGGTTTTGTAAAGTGTTTAGGAGATGTCGAGTGGGAATAAGTGTTTCCTTGGGGTTTACGAACTTGGTGATTAAGGTGGTGGATGTGTTTACGATGCCAGATTGCCAGGTATAGTAACTTGAGGAGATATGGGATTATGGGTGTGTGGATGGTTTGGAATTAAGATAATGGCGTGAATTTAGGAAGGTTCTTTCCGGTGCAAGCGAAAGGTTTATGCATGCATGAAGAGGAATGGAAGGTGGTGACGTGGAGTAAGGATAACCATGAGCTTAAAACTTGTTATATGGGAATGGGATTATGATGACGAGGAAGAGGGTTTAGTTGTAGAAAAGCTAGTTTTAATTAAATATGGAAAACATGGTTTTGTTGCATGGGAGTCAGGAGAGTGGGTTTCTATGTGGGATGATGAGTGATTATGAAAGAGTTGGATGAGGATAGTTGCATGAGATTTTTAATGTAGGACATCTTTTTTTTAAAGGAAACTTTTATAACCAAGGCTTCGGTTAGATTTTATGTACCGACTAATCATCCATTGTAAACATGAGGCATAGCCTCATGATGCCCTGACGTTATACCTCATGTCCTGAAGTCATTAGGGACGAACCTTCATGGCCATAAGGGTTAACTAGTGTCAGGATTTGAGTATGAGACATATTTTATGGGTTTTGCAACGTTAGTGTAAGGTTTTGGGTTGGTGGCAATATGTGATGCAATTTCAGATTTTCACATCAGTTTTCGTCCAAACTTTATGTAATGTTTTAAAAATTGGTTTTTTAGTTAAATCAGTTTGGTGACTGACTCTTAGTTGAACCAATTCGAACAAGGAGTCAACTCGGTTTTCAGTATGATCATGTATTTACTTTATTTATTTATTTTTGTGTATACACACACGCACAAATTAATTAATTGACATGTCAGTTAGACTACGAAAATGTACACATTAACTATGAATTTCAGTCATTTAATAAGAATTGTCATTTCATATTGACTAGAGAAATATACACTTTTACTACAAATTTTAGACATTTAATAAAGAATTTTCATTTCATCTGTAAATTATCACGTTATTTTGGCTATGAAAATGTACATTTTAACTACGAATTTCACACATTCAATAAGAATTTACATTTCACCAGTGAATTGTCATTTCATCAATGAATTGTATGTCACTTTGATTACGAAAATATACATTTTGACTACGAATTTCAGTCATTTAATAAGAATTTTCATTTCACAAGCAAATTGTGATTTAAATTTGACTACAAAATTATACACTTTGACTACGAATTTAAGACATTTAATAAGAATTTTCATCTTACCTGTAACATCCTAAAAACACGATAAAATTTTTCATTTTTAATTTAAAAGAAACCATTGTTTTCAAATCAAAACCATATCAATCAAGTGATAAATACAATTATTCCCAAGATCCGTTTATCTGAAAATCTCCCAAAAACATGTCATTGAAGGCTTTGTACGATCATGCCTTCGCCTTGCCCCAGTCATCCGAAGTACCTGAAACATAAAACTGAAATCGTAAGCCAAAGCTTAGTAAGTTCCCCCAAAGTACCACCACACAAACATATAACATATACAATTCTGCATGCTGGGTCCACAACCTCCCAGTTGTCTTACCATGACCCATAACCTCCCGGTTGTCTTACCATGGCCCACAACCTCCAGGTTGGATTGCCCTGCATATAATGTACTGGGTCCACAACCTTCCAGTTGGATTACCCGGGCCCACAACCTCCCGGTTGGATTGCCCTAGTTTGTTGACTGACAGTACAAATAAGTATAGTCTCAACCCTAAACATACCATGTCGACATATAGCAGATAACAAACATTTTTAGCAGATAGTTAATCTTATAGCCAGTAATTACAGGTAGTCCTACAGTTCTACTAGTCTAATGTTGGTGATTTTAGTGTCAACATGTCATTTTAAGTAACTGGAACAAACATGTGAGCTAAGGGGCTTCATAATTTGTACTCTATTATATGTAGGGGGTTGTGCGGAGTGCACGCATGTATAAGATCGAATTAGAAGTCGGTTCGACGACTAGTCGGGGGTCCAGGGGCAGCGCCCCCGGGTCCGGGGTTTCCAAAGGGGCAACGCCCCTTTGGCGGGGTCTAGGGGCAGCGCCCCTAGCGGGGTCCAAGGGGCAGAGCCCCTGGCTGAGGTCCCGCTAAATTCAATTTCTTGAGGGTGTTTATGGTAAAACTAACGAAACTCGTTAGTTTTGGGAACCCTAAATCCTCATTAAATCCGGATTAATATTACTTGCTTCCAAAGCAACTAATGACGGCCCAACTTAATGAAACCCTAATATCGTTTATTATATAAACGACTCTTCTTTTCAGAAGAGGGTGACGATCTTAAGCTCTCGTTTTTCATCACACTTTCACAGAATCCTCTAGCATATTGGCTTACGATTTCTGTGCCTAGAATCGTAAGTGTCCACTTGGATTATCCTACGCTGAATTTCTTGTAACCCAGGCATATGGTAGAAATATCAGTTCGGAAAGTGATATCACGATCCAAGTCGGTATCCAGATCTCCACTACAAACCCTAATATTCCCAACATCTAACGCGTATCCGCAGTCATCAGATAATCATACAGATCTACTACAAATTCAGCATAACAATATTCAATATTTCCATATCAAATCCAGTAGGCCGATCTTGGTGCCTTCGACCCACAAGTATAGTGAGGAAAACTCACATCTCAGTCTGAAAAGATCGTTGAACAGGACACTGCTCTAAATATCAGCTCTACCAGTCACCTATTCATCAGATAGTGACCAATCTCGAATACAACTCAAAATACCCAAAATACCGTTAGGTTAAACTTGGTCAAGCCCTGGTCAAAGTCAAAACAAATCCACACTCGAAATTCCCACAGCCACTAGTCACGTCGTGACCAATAAGTCAAAACAGTCGAGGAACACCATCCTCACTCATGACATACAAGAGCTCACCACGTGAGGATGCTCTGGACAGAAGTGTTGAATGAAGCTCTTAATCCCTTTTTGGTCAAGCGACCAAATCCTCCATAAAGTCTTATTTACCCCAGAACATCGTAAAAATCATGGCTTTTTGGACATGTATGTCCCAAACACTATCTAGGGAACAAAATGAGTAAATGACAACAAATCTCATGCATGTAACATAAAACTCAACCATATTTCATATCTAGCATCTATATTACTCAATGGGCATTGGAGATATATAAAGCTGACAACTTTATGGATTTCAACCACTACATTATCTTGAATATGAAGGATTCAGCATAAAAACCTAGATCTAAGCTTATATATACTCATAAAGCAATGAACTTGAAACTCACAAAGGTCTAGGAAGGTGTGAAAATGCTTGATGGTGAGACTTGAAACTCACAAATAAGCTCAATATCAAAATATGGATGCTAGGGTCTCAAAGGGGAGTCATCTATTTCTATTACTACCATGGACAATCATCTACACATCACCATATGAGAAAACTTGAGATTCAGAACCGAAGCACATACTGCCTATGTATTGCTACTCTCTTTTCATTCTCAAACTCCACTTTCAAGGATTCATCAATGTACTTAGTTCTTTACTTTCAACATAACCTAATAAACATTTTACTATTAATACATTGTTCTTCTAAAACCTTACCAATTTATTGCATAACTTTCAATTATACACTTCTTTCAGGAAATACCTAAATTAGACTTTGTGGGTCGTGCTTAGCACGGGCCTGACAACGTACCTGGTATATATATATATATATATATATATATATATATATATATATATATATATAAATTAATAGTTGGTCTCGAAACTATCATGAGATACGAGACCGTCCCCCAGCTTACCTCTTGTTAGACACTCGACATCATTTTGCAAAATAATAATAATAATAAATAGGGAAAAAAAGTCCATAGATGACTTGGATTTTGGTGGTTAGTAAAAGTATTTGCTATTTTGGTATTTTTCATTTTTACAGCTGTTTAAAAAAAAACTATTATGATATGTGCTTCGTATCAAGGTTGTCAATATCGGGATCATACGTAGGATCGTTTTTGGGTTTGTAAGATCGGGATCGGGATCCTAAGATCCTACAAAATAAAATATAATTTTAATTTATAATTTTTAATCATGAAAAATAGTTCAAACATTTGATTTTTCGTTCAAAAGTTATAAAAACTTCAAAATATTAGTCATAAGTCACAACACAAAATGACAAATGCTAAATTGGTAAGGGTAAAAGACATAAAGTGGTAAAAAAACTCATATAAAAAAAAAATCAAAGGAGGTAGGATCGGATCGGATCTCGATCCTACGATCTTACGATCCTACCCCAAATACGATCTTTTTACGATCCGGATCGTTTTTCATATCTAGGATCGTAGGATCGTACGATCCTACGATCAGGATCGCGATTTGGACAACCATATATTATTATAGGTAAAAAAAGTTATAAATTAATTAAAATTTTATGAAATATCGTATACATATATATTGTCCTAGTAGACTAGGACGATGTCTTAATTTATCCCTATAAAATAGTTATACGTGAGAAGGCGTTCTTCTGATATCCCATATATTATTATAGGTAAAAAAAGTTATAAATTAATTAAAACTTTATGAAATATCGTATACATATATATCCCACTGGTTCTTCCTACCAAAGCCGTCCTCTCCATTTCTTCTACCATTCTCGCCCTTTTTCTTACGGTTAGAATTTCCAATTCTCCATTAATGTTTATTGAGCTCCCTTTTTCTTTTACGACACATCCAATCGTAGTTTCTCATTAGAAATTAGGTTTGATAATTTCGATTTTGTATAAATTGCAAATTGGCCATGGAATTGTTCATCCATGTTTTGAAAGAACTTTTTTCACGATTAAAAATCTTCGAAACTTAACATTCAGATGAATTCTTAACGCTTCGCTGCATGATACTATAAATTTTAGTTTTCATTTGAACTAGTTCTAGATATGATCGATCTGTAAAGCAATTACCCGTGACTCAATCTGTCAGCAACTCAAATTCATACTTGTCTCCTTCCTAATTTTTGTTCTTAAAAGAGATGCATCATGCATGATCTCGGGAATCGCGACTCGATTAAAAACAATTATTACTTTAGCTTTGTCTGTTTTATCTGATTGGCGATTTGACTTGTTATAATTTAACTGCGACGAATTGATTCCCGAAATTCATACTTCTGGTAGTTTTAAATTTTCAAGAGAACAGAGTTATGAAAATACAGTTATCTTGAATGCTCAACAAATTTCTTTTTGAAATTTTACCTTTGCAGAGAGGATCATTTATGTCGTTCTTCAGGACATACTGGAACAGTCCTGTTGGACCTAAAACTACTCATTTCTGGGGTCCTATGGCCAATTGGGGATTCGTTGCTGCGGTATTTATTTTCCACTACTTTTATTAGAAATTTCTATAAAAACTTGAAACTGAATAATCATTTGCTGTATGGCAGGCATTGGCCGACCTTGAGAAGCCTCCGGAGATGGTATCTGGCAACATGACTTCAGGTTCCTACTTGCCCATACTTTTTCTATAACATTTCCAACAACCCCTAAACTGACCCATATCATAAGATAGGTTCGTAGTTGCCCATACTTTGTCTGCAAAAAAAAAAAAAGTTATTCTTCGGATAACTCCTAAGTCATCCAATATTTTGAGATGTAACCTACTAGGTGATTGGAGTCCAATCCTTGGAATTGAAATTTTTACACTGCAGCTGTTGAGACTGTGTTATTACTTTTGGATTGTAGTGATGTGCGTATATTCGGCTTTATGTATGAGATTTGCGTGGATCGTTCGGCCTCGCAACTATCTTCTACTTGGATGCCATATCTCAAATGAAACGGTTCAACTTTTTCAACTTTCACGATGGGCAAGAGGTCAAGGGTAAGCTACATTTAATATGATGCTAGTTGCATTTTGATTAACACTTTTTTAATTTTTTTTTTCTTTTTTAAAAGATATTTGCAGCAGAAGGAAGATAAGACACCAATCACACCATCACCTTGACTTCAGATGGTTTCTTTAATTTCGACTTTTAGGTGGTTATTTTTCGGTTTTACTGTAAATTTAAAGCTTCTAGTTCTAATGCATTTTACAGTTTGTTAAAATATTTACAGGTTTATATCTTGATTTGTAATAATGACGATTTCCATTATTGTATCATTTCTTTTTAGAGTAAATCACATTTTTGGTCATGATTATTTTTTATTTTTGCAATTTTGGTTCATATTTGTGGTCTTTATAACTTTTTGTTCCATGTTCTAAGTAAAAATGACTATTTTTTTTTGGTACTTCGAGTATAACCAAATTATCGTCCAAAAAATATAGGAAATCTATTTGGAACAATCACCAAAACTATTACAAACATGTCAAATAAGGACCATACCTATAAAAGAAAACCTTTTGAGACCAAAGTTGTAAATGAAAACATTTTGGGACCAAGTTTGAAAAAAGCAGATATATTAAGGGACTAAAAATATAATTTACTCTTACTTTAATTTAGATGAGCAGCTCCACATAATTTTAATTAAATTCTTGTTTGACAACAATATACTAATTTATTATTATAAATTTTTTTGCCACTCGTAAAATTATCATTCAATTTGTTAAATATATATTGTTGTCAAACAAGAATTTATAACTTTGGTATCAAAAGGTTTTCTTTTATAAGTATGGTCCTTATTTGACATGTTTGTAATAGTTTTGGTGATTGTTCCGGATAGATTTCCTATATTTTTGGACGATAATTTGGTTATACTCGAAGTACCAAAAAAAAATAGTCATTTTTACTTAGAACATGTTACAAGGGCCACAAATATGAACAAAAATTGCAAAAATCTTATGACCAAAAATGTTATTTATGGAAATCGTCATCATTACAAATCAAGATATAAACCTGTAAATATTCTAAAATTATGGGTAAAACTCGTATATTACACGAAGTTGATTAAAAAAAGATTAAATATCAAAGGGTAAATAATATGTATTTTTTAAAATAAAATTTCAAAATAAGGAACGAAGAAAACGTATTAATTGTAATTTACTATCATATTTATTACATTTAATACTTTACATATATAAATACAAGTATTATGTGGCTTTTTAATTTTAAAATTTAAAAAAAAAAACCAGAAATTGTCATGTGGATATTATTTATTTTAAAAAATATCAGAAAACAACAAGTGTCAAACTCATGAGAGATTGACATGTGACAAAATGGATCTTTATTTATTATAGTAGAATTTTGTATTGATAAACTAAAATAGTTTATCTTGGTTTATAAATAACTTTTAGTTTATAAATTAGTTTATAAGTTAATTTTATTGATAATATAGTTTGAGATAGATTATAAGTTAAAAATTAGCTTATAAACTAAAAGCTAGGTTAGAAGTTAATTTATCAAACAAAACTGAAAAATACATTTTTTAATAACTTTGAAATATTTAAAACATGTGCTGATGTGAATTTTGTTAATATGTAAGTTTCGCTAATTATTATTAAAATTTTGAAAATACTTGAACTTATGCTTTAAAATCTTATTATTTTTGTAATCAATAAAAATTAGAGAAAGACCATAACATCTACCAAACATCAAGTTATATATGACGATACCAATCACCAAGTCGTATTTTAAGCCCAAGTCAAAACATAGAAGTCATATGTAGCTGTCACCGTAATTGCATAAGGATAAGTAATGGACGGAAGAAGTCAAAATTGATGCTTGGATGATGAAATAAACTACTTTTTAAAGTCCAATTGCAATATTTAATTTAATAGATAGAATAGTAATACATAATATTACATATGAAAAATGACAATGACCCTATTATATTTTGTGATTTTATGCATTCAGTCCTTAAAGTTATTTTTTTTGCCCTTTAAGGGAACAAAGTTGATGTAGACTTGCGTTTTTGATCACTACAATACCAGGTTACATAAGTTATGTAGGTATTTAAAGTTGATGTGGCTTCACTCTCTATGATTTGACATTTTTTTAGTTAAAAAAAAGAATAATAAAACTTCGGGCCCACCCATCTCTCTCTCTCTCTCACACACACTCCATGATGATTACTAGAAGCAACAACAAAGTCATGAAGCTTCGTCGTCCTCCACTGCCTTATGTCGGCTGGCCATGGCTGTAACCATAACTGTTGGCTCCATGAGCGTCGTTCACCTGCTTCTCCTTTCTGTTCAAAACAATGAACCACGTAAAAGCTTCCAAGATGGTTGCAATGGTTGCGATAGTTGTTGATAAGATCACGGGAAGCTCCAAAGTTGCAATGGTGATGGATCATTTCTTGTAGTTATCAACCAACTCTACATGTGAGCTAGGAGGGAACTGTATCACAAGAATTGTCAACCCATGGGCATGAACAAAGTCCATGGTAAATTTGTGGACTAAACAATAAGGCATCGATACTACCCTCGAGAAAATGGAATCAAAATGAAAATTAAAACTAGAATCATATACATGATGATGGTACGAATGGACTGCTACTTGCGTTTGGATGTCGTTACTCTGAAAATGGCCCCGATGATGATGTTAGGGTTTGTAAAGACCATGTCAAAAACTCATAACCCCTTCCCCACTTGTAACATCCCAAAAATCTTGACCAAAAATTTCTTTTTAAAACATTACTAAATCATAGTATCAACTCATTTCAACATACAAAAAGGGTTATATAATAAATCAGAGTATCTTTTCAAAACACTTGTTCATTTTATCAGAGTAAACATCCCAGGCTAAACTTCTTTGCTCTGTGTGTGTGCTATGCGATCACCCCGAGCTCTTCCCTCCGCTACCGGAAGTACCTGAAACCAAAACTGAAAACCGTAAGCACGAAGCTTAGTGAGTTCCCCAACCTACCACATACCACATACTGGGCCTCGCCCACTGCATCGGGCCCTGCCCGACATCGGACCGTAGTCCGGACTAACTTGGGCCCCGCCCACTGCATCGGGCCCCGCTCGGCATCAGGCCCCGCCTGGCATCGAGCCCCGCTCGGTATACAGATCTGTTCTCTTAGGCCCCGCCTGTCTCTGGGCCTCACCCGCTACTAACAAATACAAGCATATAACATAACACATATCATAAAGCTAAACATACTCTACTGTATTACTGATGTAAGGCCTCGCCTATCTTGGGCCTCGCCCCTGTCCTGCTACTGGTGAGCCATGGAACCCCATCCACGCTCCTGCTGATAGTGAGATACGGGCCCCCGCCCACACTCACCTCCCTCCTAACTCGGGCCTCGCCCTTGCTCTGATACTAATGAGATACGGAACCCCCGTCCATACTCGGCTAGTGATGAGATACATGACCTCGCCCGACTCACCTCCCTACCAGGCACATACAAGTATCACAAAGACAACAAGTATAACTACACATCCACTACTGCCTCGGGTACCACCCGGCATCGGACTGAAGTCCGGAACATATAAACTGCATCGGGCTAACCCCGGTAACGGATCTAAATCCGAACAAATCACAATAAGTGCCTAGGGCTAACCCACGGGTCTTCCTACTACACATAACCATAAGCATAAACATAATGGGCCGGCATTGTGGTCGTAGACCCATGCACACAGTGAGGAGACTCACCTCGTACTGCTGAAACTGCTGATAACCCTCTGGCTGCTATCCAACAACTCTCCGAACTGCTGCTCCTCTAACTCCCCGAGCTACCAATACCAAATAATAGTAACACTTAGCCTAACTGTCCTCAAGAAGTCAACTAAGTCAACTCTGGTCAAAGCCCTTCTCAAGGTCAAAGCCCTTCTCAAGGTCAAAGTCCTGGTCAAAGTCAACCTTCCATTTGACTCGACTAGTCGAGTTGTTCTGCCAACTCGCCGAGTCCATGCTCCTCAAATCCCAAAACAACCCCGACTCCACTCGTCGAGTCTAGCGAGAACTCGACGAGTTCTCCTTCATCTAACACTTCGGGACTATCTTCAACCGACTCGCCGAGTTCATCACTGAACTCGTCGAGTTCATCATCATCGTATGAATACCTAGGCCATGACTCGCCGAGTTGTATGAACAACTCGTCGAGTTCATCTTCCTAACTCAAAAGATTGTCTTGGACTCGCCGAGTTCCTCTTCGAACTCATCGAGTACTATGATCTTCATGTCCATTACGGACCCAATCTGGTTGAATCCTTTACTAACTCCACTCACTGATCCGAATAAAAAACAGAAGGGTTTGGGTTTGCGACCCGACTCGCCGAGTCCATGCACTGACTCGCCGAGTCCACCTTGTGACATCTCTATTCTGTCAATTACAGTCCATTGCAACACCTTCAACCCATAGATCTGGACCTCTAACGCCAGCATTGCACGTAAAGTTGCTAACCTTACGTGCATGCAAGGTGATATGAAGCTAAAACTCTTAATCCAAACTAAAATGAAGGTCTAGGTCATGAAATGAAGCCATGGCTGGGTAAAGCTGCCCCCTCAGAGCTTCTAAAGCTCATAAATGCTTAGATCTTAAGCCCTTTTCGTCCTCAATGGCTCAATATTCAGATTGACCTTGGAAATGGTCCAAATGTGACAAAATCTATGCTAGAAAGGGGATCTAGATGATTAACAGTCAAGGTATAAGCTTTTTACCTCTAAATGGTCTGAAATGCTACCCCAACTCTGGATCTATAGCTTCTTCTTGCACCACCAAGGTCCTTCTTCCTTCTCCAAGCTTCAACTCACTCTCAAGGCAAGAACTAGCTCAACAATGGAGTTGGGTGGCTAGGGTTTCGAGTTCTGGACAATAGGGGCCGCAAATGAGCCCTAGGGAAGAGAATAAGATGCTTAAATAGGGTACCAAGTCCCGGAATTAGGGTTTCCAAACCCAGACCAGACTCGCTCAGTCCACTCGCCGACTCGCCGAGTCGGTCACTTAATCTTTGACACGGAACCCGCCCCGAATCGTCGAGTTCTTCCCTAGACTCGACGAGTTGACCCCTTTGACTTAGGGTTTCCTTTCCTTTCTTGGTCTTTCTAATTCTGGGTGTTACACCACTTCCTTATATTGTTGGATCTCCTCAGTTATATATAGAGGGCACCCCCTCCTTCCTCTAGCACAATATTGCATCTCAGAAAAAGTAGAAAAAGAGAGTTGAAAGGAACGATCCTCAAAAGCAGAGCTTCAAGA